TGCCCCAAGAATTAGTTTTTTGTAAACTGATGCTGTTTCTCTGCCTCCATCAAAGATAAAATATAGCCAGTGTGGAGGTTATACTTTGTTGCCAGCCTGTTGTTAGCACATATAAATGGTCTTAAAGCATCTCTGGATTAAGTGTGTGAGACCATGGTTGGAGAATGAGACAGTATGAAATATGGATCCTGGATATTTAAAATTCTGTGTGAAATACAGCTTTTTAAAAATTTTAAATTTATGTTTTTGAAAACTATTAGGCTGTTATATTTATATTGATTCAAATTTACTTTGACTCCCTCGTTTAGAAATCTATTTAGTGTAAATCCGGGGTGGGTATTTGGCCTAGTACTTAAGCTGTATGAGAGTGCCTGGATTTCAGTCCTAGCCCTGCTCCCTGCTCCAGCTTCCCGCTGACGTGCACCCTGTTGCTCAGGTGATGTGCAGGTAGTTGCGTCTCTGCTGCTCATAGGGGAGATCTGGATTGAGTTCCCAGCTTCTGGCCTTGACCCAGTCCTGTCTGTTGGGAATATATTGTTGGAATATATTCCTCTGTTTGAGGAATAAACCAGCAGGTAGGAGCTCCCCGTCTGCCTGCCTTTCAAATAAATAAACAAATAGAAATAAAAATAGCTAGTTTTCTATTAGCTTTCACACTTATATTGACAGGATTTACAGTGTCGTCATCCCTCATGGGATTTACCAGATCACAATTGGCATGAATGTCCGTGAATGTCAGTCATTAGCTGTTTAATAATGTATGATTGCACATGTTATTTGAATGAAAGTGATAAAGTCTGTGTCACAGTCGTCATGCAGTTTTTGTTGGGCTCCTCATTAGATGGCGAAGTTTGACTCTTCTGCGAGTGTGGAAGAGCGTAGTCGTTGAGAGTGATGGCAATTCAGAAAAGCAGCTGCCTTGTTAAAATCATCAGATTTTCCTGAAACATTTTTCAGCCAGGACAGTCCATTTTGGTTCTCTGTGAGGCCTGCTGCGTGTTAGAAGCCCACGTGTGTGTCATGTGTTTGTGTCTGAGTAAGTCTGGGGGATGAGTGAGCACCATAGCTTTTCATGCCTATTTACATTACCCCTTATCTGATGTCTGATATTTTTCCTACTGCACACAGAGCAGAATGGCAGTAAAGCCTTCATATTAATTTACTTCGTTATGGAATCCTGTTAGCTGGTATGTAAAAAGAGGACTAATTCATGTTTGAATTTGGTGGGAATGTTTTTACTTGAGAGAGGGAATTATTTCCCTATTTAAATCTCAGTTTGTAATAGGAGTCGGAAACTTGCATAAATTCAAAACTTACAGTATTTCCTTTGAAAACCAGTATGAATGATAATTCAGCCGGCTTCTGAGTGAGAATGTATTTCTCTTCCTTTGCAAGTCACAGAATATGATAATAATGAGTTTTTAAGATCTTGAGACTTTCTCAAACAAAGACTTCTTGGAATATAAATCATTACTTCCATAAATAAACTCTAGATATGTAAAATACATAATTTTTTTCGATAATTGCAAAGCTTCAGAAGCTCAAGAAAGAGAGGTTACTTTTAAACACCAGGCTTTCCATTTTGCAGTATTTTTCATGTAGCATTTAATTATCTTTTTTTCCCATTATTGCCAAATTTATCAACATTCTTTTTTTTTTTTAACCATTCTTCACTTTCTATTTATTGCACCCCTTCTTCACCTCACCAGTATTAAAACTTCTCTTGTAAAGGTCACTAGGAAGCACCTAATTTCTAAAGCTGTGTGTCACCATATGTGATCTTTCCGTGGCATATTAAATGCTTTTTCCCTTTCCTCATCTCGGGAAACTGCCTGCTCCCTTGAGTCCAAAAGCATCTCTCTCTCTCGGTTGTTTTTGTCCTTGGTTCCTGTCTGCTGCTCTCAAGCTTACACCCAGCCGTGTCTTGGAACCGTTTTGTCCACTGCCATGAATTCAAATACAGTTCACATCTGTTGTTTATTTCCAAGCTCTCCACTTCCAGCCCATATTACTCTCCTGATCATCTGGAGTCTTCACTCTTCCTGACTTCTAAAAACAATGTCTTCTTTTCTAGTGACCTAAAGAGAATGCAGAAGCTTTTGTGTGTTGTGGTCTCCCCTCTGCTGTTCTCCCCTCACCCCTCCTCCCTCTGTCCTACATATTTTAGTTAGGGGCATTTCCATATACTTAGTCATCCAAGCTGGAAAGCTTTCCCTTCTCTTGTCAATGGTGCAGGACACTTAGCCTTGTTAATTCGAAGTCCTAAGTAATGATTCCTTCATTCCCTCTTCTTCACTTCTGTTATTACCCCAGTCTAAACTCTGATTTTTTTTCTTTGTTAAATGTTTGCAGTAAATCTCTAACTAGTCTTCCTATAAATTTCCAAGTGTCCCATACAATGCTGTCAGATGTTATTTTCCTAAGGTACAGGCTTGATGACGCCAGTCCTGCTTACTAAAGACCTTTAAATCTTCATTTCCTTTGAAATAAAGGTCAGACTTCTGCTGCCTACCTAGTGGCATTTGTTTGATGGCTGCAAGATGACTTAAGCACTTTGGAATTTTAGGAATGGCATTGACTTTGCCACCAGATAGACCAGATTGGAGAATCCAGCCTTGCCACCTGCTAGTTGTGTGAAATCGTGGGCAAGTTACCTTTCACTTGGGCAAGTTTCATTTCCTGAGTTGATTTTGTAGATGACCCCTACATGTCAAATGAGGGTCAAGGGGCAGTGAAGTAAGTGAGCTCAGTTACGCTAAGACTGGTGCAGTAGTGCCGCTGCCTTCCCCTGAGTATGTTGGTTTTCTTCTTTCTCTTCAAGCCCTGGGAGTCTAATCGTCATCCAGTCTTTCGGGTTTCTCAGCATTCTTGTCCCTGCTTGGGTGTTTTCTGCTTCCTCTTGTGCTTCAGCAGGATTGGTGATCCTTTTATGTGTGTTAAGCAAGTTTATTAATATCTTTATTGGTATTGTTAATTGCACTGTCTTTATTATTACATGTGCCTTCTGTGCCTCCCTCTTGGAGGGGGAACCAAGTTTTATATTATGTACACATTGCTTTATACTTAGTAGTATTGAAGGGATAACCTTGATTATAATGTAGGCCCAGTCAGACTGTAAGGTAAGGTCATTGGACCATATGTAGACTTGTGCATTTTTTCCTAATGCTTTGAGTAGAACCTAAGATAAGTCACTGCCATTATTTAAATTCAGAAAATATAACCATTAGGGTTTGAATGTAAAGATAGCTGTATTATTAAAAGCTATATATATGTTAGGTACTCCAGTAACCCATGTCCATCACATACTTGTCCTTATATATAAACTATTATTTTTTGTTATTTATGTGTGAATATTATATTGTTTTCCAGAATCAATGCCCCCCTCCAGAGAATACAGCAGAATTTTGAATTTTTATCAATCATATTAAAATATCTCTCATTTAATACTAAATTTTTAATAAAACTTTCAGGTTATCTATAATTTTACTGTGAGAACTGTGACATAAATTTTTACTTTGAAGGTCTGGTTTAACAATCTTTTGTTGTACTCTTCTTATTAAGAAAAGTTGTTGCACACAATTTGCCATTTAATAAAATATGTAAGAATAAGTTCATCTGTATAGTTGAGAGTAGGCTATGACTGTGTATATGTGGGAGCTTTAAAAAGTTTGTGGAGGCGCTGGCGCTGTGGCACTAGTAGTAGGTTAAGCCTCTGCTTGTAGTCCCGGCATCCCACATGGGTGCCAGTTTGAGTCCCAGCTGCTCCACTTCTGATCCAGCTCCCTGCTAATGGCCTGGGAAAGTAATGGAAGATGGCCCAAGTCCTTGGGCCCTTGTACCCACATTGAAGACCTTAAAGAAGCTCCTGGCTCCTGGCTTTGGATTAGCCCAGCTCCAGCCATTGTGGCCATGTAGGAAGTGAACCAACAGATGGAAGACACCTCTCTTTCTCTCCCTCTGTCTCCCTGTAACTCTGCCTCTCAAATAAATAAATAAATATAAAAAAAGTTTGTGGAAAACAGAATTAAATGATTAATTTATCTTGAGACAAAAAATTTTGAAATCCATGCATTGTAAGGGTCTTAACAAAAGTTCATAGAAATGTATATTATGAAGAAATGCATGATTCAGACTTTTTTTGCACTAAAATAAATGATAAATGTACCCTTTTTAATATATAAAGATGTATTTATTTGAGAGTCAAGTTCCAGAGAGGAAATATTCCATCCTCTGGTTCATTCCTGAGATGGTCACCAGTGGTCAGGGCTCTGCCAGGAGCCAGGAGCTTTATCTGGGTCTCCCACGTGGGTGACAGGGACCCAAACACTTGGGCCATCTTCCACTGCTTTTCCCTGGCCACTTGCAGGGAATTGGGTTGGAGGTGGAGCAGCCAGGACTTGAACCATTGCCCATAAGAGATGTTAGTATCCCAGGAGATGGCTTTACCCACTATGCAATAACATTGGCCCCCAAACATACCTTTTAGTTCCATTTTCCATAAACTTTTTAAATTACTGTGTATACCATAAATCTCCATGTAAAATACATGAATTATTCCTGTTAGTTTGAAAACAGTTATTCTCTAAATATATTTACTAAAGCATCTTATCTTGTTTTTCTCTTTGTTGAGAAAGTGCATCTCAGTACCACCTTGACCACTGTGCGTTATGAAGCCATAGCAGTGTTTACATCCATCAGCCTGTTTACTTTCTGTTCCTGAAAAATTGGTGTTTGACCTGAAAGGAAAACTAAACTTGATTCTTCATCTGAACTAGGCACGGAACCTCTTTGGACCTCAGTTTCTTTTAATTTCAACAGAATAATTGGAGTGGGTCATTTATGGGATTGTCTAGTGCTACAGTGCTGTTTTATGATGAAACTCTGCTGTGAATTTTCCTGTGTTAACTCCAGAAATCTCTAACCAATGCAGATGTTTGCTTCCAAGTTCTGTTGAAAGCAACAAAGGTGAATTCAGCAGAGAGAAAGTTACAGTGGAATCATTTATTTTATTTCCATAGCATTTAGAATAATAGGAGTTTTTCAGGTTGTAGTTCAATTCCTTTTCTTTTAGATGGAGAGGTTGCTCGGTTTGTTACTTTGTTAGAAGTTAATGGCAGGGCCAGGATAAGAATCCGGAGTCCCTCACCAGTTCTGTCTATACAGTTTACATATAACCTGGAAAAAGAATCAGTCTCCTTTGCAGTATAATATTTAATTACACAGGAAGAACAAATATTGATATTAGAGAAAGGTCATGTCATAGGATGACTTGGTTTGCTGGGCAAAATAGGATCTCAGGGTAGGTTTCCAGCATCAGATTTACATAGGGTTTGGTGCAGGGGGGTCTCAGGAAGTGTTTGTTGAATGGCCGTAGTCTGTTCTAAAAAAGAAAATTCAGAAAGGGGGGGCTGATAGAGGTGTCATTTCCCAGCCCCTTCCCTTGGCTGCTTGCTGTCATCAACTTTACTTGCTTTGCAGCAGGTACCAGCAATAAGTTTTTTAAGAATCCTGAATATTTGGTATTTAAAACATGAAATACTGGATTTATGCCTCCCAATCCTGAGTGTAAATTAGACACGAGGGAACTTCATTCATTTAGATGAAAAACAGTGTAATCTAATCATTTTGCACAGTAGCTGGATTTTTCCCTCTACTGACTTGATTAACATACATGAGTCATTCGTACATAGAATTAAACCCAAAAAGTTAAGTCAATTATCTACACAGGTAAGACTTGACTGTGAAACACTGTGAAACATCAAACATTGGTTGATTATTCCCCCAACACTTTGTGAAAATGTTTTATACCAGTTTCAAAAACAAAATAATAAATTTATTAGAATCCTTGGAGTATGTAGTTATGTGGCCACAATAATAAGATGGCACAAGGGAGTTTTTAAACTTATTTTTTTAGTAGACTAGGGAGTTGGTATATACTATATCCAGTGGCCCTAGAGTAGTCAGTAAAGTGAATTAAAGAGATTGAAGGAAAGAACCCTTCCTGCCACTCATATCATTTCGCTGTTTATGTTGCTTAGTGACCGTAAACTGCTAGTTCGGAAACTTTTCCTGCGCATGCTTCGAAGGTAATTGCGGTACAGCATGACACTGATGACCCGAGCCTGGAACTGCTTTGAAACAATGTAGTAGAGAATCACATCCAGACAGGTGCTGAGGTTCATGAGGAAGGCGGTGAAGGCCCCCCAGGGGTTGTACCTGCTGTCTTCCCTTTCCAGCATCAGAAAGGCAAAGCAGATGTGGAAGGGCACAAAGCAGACGAGCACCTGCACCAGGAGTGTGATGATGATCCGGATGGACTTCTCCTTGACTTTGGGTTTCAATTTGGATGTCCGGCCGTTCAGGAGACTGTGAATAATGACCAAGTAGCACCCAATCATGATGAACAAGGGGATCAAGAAAAAACAAATCAGTCGCGTGAAGTTCAGCACGTTAGCAGCTCTTAAGTGGATGATGTCAGAGATCTTCAGGCAGGTGGCAGGGGTGGAGGCCTTGTCAGGGTCCTCGTAGAGCAGTAGCAGGGGGACAGTGGTTGTCACTGTCATGATCCAGAGTCCCACACACGCCAGCACCGCCTTGCATGTGTTTTTCAGTTCCTTGGCGTATTTCGGCTGTACAATGGCCATGTATCTGTCTGCGCTGATAAAAGCGAGAAGCCATAGAGCGATACTTGGATAAAACACTGTGAGAGCCCCAAGGATGTGGCAGAAGTGTTCTCCAAATGGCCATTCTCCTTTTGCATAGTAGAATATTCGGAAGGGCAAGCTCATTATAAACATCAAGTCCAGCAATGCCACATTCATCATGTAGATGGTGACAGTGGTTCTCTTCTTGGTGGTGCAGCTGAACACCCACAGCGCTGTGACATTGACAAATAATCCAATAATAAAGATAGAGCTGTAGAAGACAAGGGCTGCGATTGTGTATTCACTGGGGTGTGAGTCGTTGGAAGGGGCAGGTTGAACTGGATTGTTTAGAGTGGTCATCTTACAGCTTGTTGGTAGACATGATACTTAGAAACTGTAAAAGTAGTTAAAAAAAGAATAAAATCTTTGGAGAATATTTCACATTTTCATACTGCTGTGAGTTTTGATTTAGAGAGAATTTTAAGTTACTATAGACTCAAGAAATATGTCTTGGTGTGTATCCCTAAGAGGTGTTGCTAGTACTTATCCACTAAAGTGATCTGCGGTGTTTTACTGCAACAAAAAATTCATTTGTTTTCTCTCTTTCTGTTCACCTCCCTTCTTCTCAAAGAATAACCTTTTCTTCATTATTTCTTCCCATAGCATGGATTTGGGTAGCAGTTGGACTAACTGAGGAATGGCCATTCTGGACTTTAAATCTTATAAAAGAAATTTGCCACTTTTTAGCTTCTTTGTTCTCTTTAAATATTTTGTAACCCAGATTAGTGAAGTCTAAATATTAAGATTTTTTCTATTTTACTTATTAAATAGAACTTTGATATATAAAATATTTATTAGAAAACTAATAAAAAGAACCATACAGCTGGTTAATGACTGGTCACAGTAGTTCTTATTTGCGAGAGCATGTCAGTGTTCCGCATCTCACTTCTGTATTCCTTCTGCATACATAGTACATGGTGAGTGCCCAGTAGATGCTTGTTAAATTAGGGACAGCGCATTTGGTGAGGCTGCCCACACACAGCAGGTGTTCTCTAGTTTGTCAGTGAATAATTCCTTAGCTGGCCATGAAACATCTTTTTTTTAAAGGTGGTAAATATTTCCTAAGTATTATCTTATGTTCTCTTTAAATTCTCCTGGGTCTAGAAGTGGCAGTGTTTCTGTCATGCTCTACACATGAGGAGCTGGACCCAGAAATTAAAGTCCCATTTCCCACTCCCTCCCCCCCACCAAAAAAAAAGTCCATTTCAAATGGAAAGGACTTTATTTGTGATTGTGACTGATGGGCCCCTCACAGTGTGAGACTTCCTTCACCTGTGACGCAACACCAGCACTGGCTACAGAGACGTTAAATATAGACCTGCTACAAAGAGATGGAACCTTGTGGCCTCCCCTAGAAATACGGAGGCACACAGGAAGTGATGCTGGGCTGAGTGGGCTCTCATTCAGCCCTGAGACTGCAGTAAAAAATGGGGGCGATTGCAGCCTGTGGCGGTGGTACCCACGTCGATAATTAAGAAACAGTTTGAGCAGCTGCTGTGACCTTGATGTGACCTTGTTTCTCCTCTGCCCTTCCTTCCTTGATTGGTTTTCCAATATTTAGGTTAAAAATGATTTTTAGAGCAGCATTCTATATATTTAAAAACATACATTAAATTTTCCAAACATCGCTGTGGCTAGAATATATATTTTTATCAGATGAGAAAAATACTGCATAGGAAATTTAAATCTCCAGTATCAAAGGAGAATACTTTTGGAGGCTTAAAACTTTTTAACTCTCAGTGACTTTTTAAATAGTCGCAATTATAATGTAAATGAAGTTTCATGTTTCTGCCATTTTTTTCCAAGCATGTTTTGTCACCCAGATTCAGACCTTAGAGACCATCTTGAGTCTCTCTCTGTTCCCGTGTTCCCAAGCTGCTTTTTTGTCTGGAGCTCATTAGTCAGCAGCATTTGTATCCATCCACTTAGGTCTGAAGAAAGTATGGGTGGTGTATGTGTTTTAGAAGTGTAGGCATGTGGGCTGTGCTCTACAGATCCAGAGAAATTTCTGGATAAATGTTGAAAAGTTGTTGGCCTGCAAGACAGTTTTTTACCTTGGATTCCATGATTGATTGAAGTTTTTCTTTTCTTAGAAACAATTGTATGTATTTCATGCAACAGTATAATTAGAATCAAGTGACAAAGACTAAGTATATGAAAGAGTTACCATATCAGCATTGTCCTTTCAGTTGAAAAAAGTTGTATTTACTATTAATATAAAACAATAATACAAATCAATATAAGATCATTTTAGTATTGTGGAAAGCTGCTAACACAGGCCATTTCAAGACTCTTCACCAATGTAGTGTCAGTAGTGAATTACTAAAACAAAACAATGATGGAATTTAGTAAGTAATCATTCTGATAATGATCTATGATGAAGTTAATTGAATGTTGCCTACCTCCTGTCCGTTAAAAGGCTGTCTTTCAGATGAACATCTTCCGGTGTACTCAGTTCTGTGAAAGAAGTATCTTCAGGGTTGCTTGCATTAAAATGGGTGTTTCTGGAAAGAGCATATTTCTGAAATGCTGTGTTCCTGTTGTTTTCGGCTTGCCTGTTGCGTTCAAGGCTTGTTTAACTGTAGACCTTGCTGCGGGAGTTGTTGCTAATGGGCTGTGGCTGCCGCCTGACTCTTTCAGGAAGTGCTCTCTGAAATAAGCCTTTTTCAACTCATGACTTGACCTGGATGTGGTTTTTCCCTCTCACAAATGATTTGTTTATGAAGTCAGGCTTAGCATGAAATGATGGCGTTTTTAAGAATCATGTTAAAAGGGGGAACTTGCTTTAATTTGCTTCCTTTGATGCCTAGTCTGCACCATCTATATAGAAAGAGGAGATTTGATGTTGAATAGAATTGGATCCAAAGTCTGGTAGCTTCTTTACTTTCCAAGCTGTGTGATTTTGCCGAGTTACTTGACCACACCGAGCCTTTGTTCCCACTTAGTTTCTGCACAATTGAAATAGAGATTGTACTGATCTGATAGGATTGAGAGGATCCTCAATCAGAAGGCCCTACTGCTTAATAATGCACCGGCACTTAGCAGGTGCTCCTGGGCAGAGTCCACCTCTTCACTGCCCCATTCTTGAAATCACAGAATTCGGACTGTTTCCTGTGTACACATTTCTAAGTGTCCACCCACTTTAGGTGGACTTCAGATCCCCAGTGCTTCTGCTCCCATTTCTATCATGAAGTCTCAGAATAATTTCTTTTGCTTAAGGAGCCCTGTAAATCCTAAGCAAAAAGGCCTCTAGAAGTCTTCAGTGGAATAATTTGCATATTAGGAGTCCTAACTGAAAGAGGGAAATGAAGCCCACAGGAAGGGAAGTGAGCCTCCCGAACCACTGCCTGCCTGGTTGTTCGCTTTTTTTTTCTTTTACTTTCTCTTTCCTTAAAAAAATCTTCACTATCTCATTTGCTTGTCCTAAAATTTTAATTAGCTTTATATTTGGTTGTGAGTAACTTGTCCACCTTTAAAAGGCACATGTAACTGTAATTTGTTTTCTGAATTTCAGACAGGTTGAGAACTCATGAACTTTTTTTCTCAGAGCTATAGGAAACCTATGACTTAACAGCAGTTATTTAAGCCCTTGCCTTTGGTGACAAAATACTCGTGCTGGTGATAACCTGCCCGAGTAACAGCTCGGGGAAGCACAGGAGCCAGCCACACCCCAGCAGCTGTGGGCTGCATTGATGGGGAAATCGAGGCTAGAGAGGGCCAGTGCTTGCCCTGGAACTCAGTGCCACCAGGGCCAGCTTCTGCAGGTGTTCGGCATTCCTCCCTGGTAGTGGCTAGCTCCTGTAGTGACTTCTCACGAGGTGGTTCTGTGGATTTGCTCGCCACACTGGCCTTGGTGGCTGAATTCCGTTCCTCAGTGTTTTGCACGTGTGCTGCACAGGAGTGGGACATCTCAGCTGCGTAGATGCCCCTCGTCTGCAGACCTGGCCTGTCCTGGCCAGTGGCAGGTTTCCTAAAATTAAGCTCTGACTGGCTTTGCTGTGCTGTTGAAGGTGATAGATTCAGGATCCACACAGTCCTCTTGTGAAGACTTGGGTCCATTGCCATACATGGGCATTCTTATTTCAGCATCGCTGGTCTCTCCGAGAGGCATCCAGGCATGAGTTAGAGTCTCCCTGCAGGCCTAGCGTATGGCTGGGAACAGCTTGTACTCTTCCCACCTGCCTGCCCATTTCAGCCGTGCGGGCCCTTCTGCTTTCCGAGCCATGCGGCAGCCTGGAACGCTGCTCACCACCGCTCTCCTACCTGTGGGCGCAGCCGGCTCCCGTTCATCCCAGAAGCTGCCTTTTCCAGGAAGCCTTTCTCTGCCCTTTGAAGCTGAGCTCCCTGGGCAGTCCTGTCCTTGGCTTTGCGCCTTGCCCCTGTGCCTTGCCCCTGTGGCAACACGTGTTAGGGTTGTCATCTCATATGCACTCGCCTTGTGTCTCCACTACGGCGTGTTCCCTGAGAGTTGGTGTGTGTGTTATGTGTGCGTGTGCGTGTGCATGTGCGTCACAGACACTTACTGTTGGATGAGGGTGTGACCGAACGGAGGTGAAGAGACAAATGAGAGGTTGGGGAGGAGCGTTTGAACTCCTGAGCCCGGAGTCAGCAGCAGGGACACTTTGCTCAGCTGCTGGGATGTGGGGACTTAGGCAAGGGCCTAGGATGATGGTGGCCCTCGTCCCCCCAGGACCCCCGCGGCATTTAACCCACTCTCTGTGTTCCTGGCTCTTCACAGCGATTGTGGATTAGGAGGGAATTGTGGGTAAAAACAAATTCTGCCACACCATTTGACAGCGAGTAAGTAATGTGTCAAGGTTTAGTTTGGGGCTGGCGTTGTGGTGTGGTGTGTTAAGCCACCACCTGCGATGCCAGCAGCCACATAAGAGCACCAGGTTGAGTCCTGGCTGCTCTGCTTCCCATCCATCTCTCTGCTTATGGGCCTGGGAAAGTAGTAGATGATGACTCAAGTACTTGGGTGGGAAACCCAGGTGGAGTTCCTGTCTCCTGGCTTCCGCCTGGTCCAGCCCAGCTGTTGCTGCCACTTGGACAGTGAACCAGTGGATGGAAGATTGCTCCCCCCCAACCCCCATCATTCTGCCTTTCAATTGCATTTAAAAAAATTTTTAAAGGAGTAAACTTGTTTAGTGTCTAATTTGCTTGTTTAGTACTTGAACCTAATGAAATTTTTTACTCAGATTATTCATGAACTGATTATTCATGCAGCTTTAATTTTTTTCTCTTATTTTAGAATTATGATTAAGAGAGGAACTTTTCTCCTTGCAAAAGAGGGATTTGCACATTTCCACAGACTGCATGGTTTCCTTTATGAAATAAGCTGGTTTAGCTCCAGTTTTGAGATCTGGTTTCCATGTCAAAAGCCCTCGGGCCTAGTTTTTTAGCAATTATAATGTGATTCAGTTAAGCCAATTTCATAATTATTAGAAAAGACTTAGTTAATAGGTTTATATAGCAAATTCCCATTTTAAAACACGTTTTTGTGTTAAAAGAAATGTCTCTGCCACAAATAACATTTTCTGTTGTTAACGCAGTTTTCTTGACCACAGCAAGTATGAGGGCTGCCTGTCCTTATTGCCTCTCACCAGCGTGCTGAGCAGGGACCACTGGGGTTCTGGTTCAAGTATTCCAGCACAGGGCCAGCTGCACACGTCCCGGAGTGCTTGGCAGACAGCCAGCGAGACCGGAGTGGGAAGGGAACTAAGCTTGGTCTGGTAGTGAGGGTAGGGGAGGACCTTATCCTGTGGCCCTCTAGATTGAAGTCAGCAGTGAGTGTAGAGTCTTACAAAGTTGGTGAAGATTCTTCACTGAGAGACTGCTCCTAGGAGAGGGCCCCTGCAGGCCACGGAAACCAGGCCTGGGGCCACAGAAGTCCAGTAGGACGCCAGGCCAGCAGTCTGCAGTGGGGCATTCCACTAGCCGAACAGAGATCCAAGCCAAGGCCCCAAGACGGCAGGGTGAGTGGAGCTCCATGGTCATTGTGAGGTACATGGCCTGCAAATCATTCCAGTCTTGTAGATGAAGTGGTGCGAATGGAGATGAGAATACGGGAGCAATGAGAAGTCACAATCCAGCAGGGCCCCTGGGAGGGCCAGGACTGGTAAAGAAACTGGAGGTCTGGCATCAGGGGATTTAGATGCAGGACGCAGATGTGATTGAGGATTTCAGTATGAAGGCATCTACCATACTAGGGGTCTTCAAAAATTGGTGGAAAGTGGAATTAAAAGATACATTTATTTTGGAGCAAAACATTTTTGAAATTCATGCATATAAAAGGCCTTCAAAATGTTCATGGAAAATGAGTTTGATGAAAAAACTATGCATGGTTTTTAAAATTTTTTTTGCATCAAAATAAATTTAGTGTTTTAATTCACTTTTCCACAAACTTTCTCAAGTACTCTTGTACAGTATAAAGACTCTACATCTGTCCACTTATCTGTAAAGTTTAAAGTTGTTTGTTGTTATTTGTTTGTTTTTATTTTTATTTTTTTAATTTGAGAGGCAGAAAGAAAGAGAAGAACTCCATCTGCTGGTTCACTTCCCAAATGCCTGCAACAGCCAAAGCCAGTGCTCAGAGCTGGGAACTCGGTACAGGTTTCAAGGTAGGTGGCAGGGACTCCACTGCTCAAGCCTGCTGCCTTCCAAGATCTGCATTAGCAGAAAGCTGGGAACAGGAACCAGGGCTGGAATGAAACCCACGCACTCTGACTTGCAGTAGGTCAAATGGCTGCTCCCAGGTGGTTGTTTTAAAGTGAGTTACTTAGGATTTTTTTTATTACCTCTGCTGTTATTCTTACCTGTGTTTTCAGAGGCAGACAGAGGCAGCACTTTACATGAATTTTTAATTCAGTCTTCGTGTTGACTTCAGAGCATGTTAAGGTTGCACAGTATTCGGTGTAGACGGTGTGGCCCAGGAGTATGTAGTCGGGATTCTGAGGTTGTATGCCCTTTCTGTGTTTTGTGTTATGACATTATACTTTGTTTTAGTAGCCTTTGTTGAAGTTGGTCCTAGTTAATAGAGATTCATCATAAATGATCATTTGGAGCAAAATAAATAAATAAATAAGTGGACTATTCTTTCTCACTGCTGAGTTCATATTCCCAAGGGAGAGTTCTGAAGCCGAATTCAATCAGCTTGTTCATGTAATTGTGGTCACCAGGGAAATCCCTGCCTTCAGTGGGGAGAAGAGTTGAACAAGCACTCAGAAATGATCAGTAAACAGGTAAGTCTGCTCAGCCTCGTTACCGATCAGAGAAACGAACATCCAAACCACAGTGAGATGTTACCCTCACCAGACTGGCTGCAGCGAGAAGGACTGGCAGTGTGACGTGTCAGGGAGGGGGCTGAGCAACAGGAACCCTCGCACGTTGCTGGTGGGAGTTCAGAGAGCGAAGCCGGTTTGCTGGTAAGCACTAAGTGCAGATACGTGTGTGCTTCCGCTCACGTCCACTCTTAGGGATGCCGTTAGAAGCGCATGTGTGTGTGCCCTGGGAGATGTAGGCAAGAGTGTTCATAGCTGCGTTGTTTACAGCTCCCCCAGAGGAGCAACCCAGATGGCCAACAGCCATGGAATGGGTAAGTTGGCCGCAGTGTAGTCAGAGTGGAATGCGATTCACAGCCCAGATGAATGCTATACACGGCAGATATAATGGTCTGGAGGAATCTCATGCGTATAGTGTTAGATTTTAAAAGCCAGACAGGAAAGAATTTGTGTTGATGTTCCATTTGTATGAATTTTAAAAGGCAGGCCAGACTAAAATAAAATGTTTAAGCGCTCATGCTTGGGTAGTCAAGCCTTTAGGTGGACTGTGGGAGTGTGTACTAACAAGGGCACCCATCCCTGGGC